TGCCCACGGGCCACCAGTTGCCCATCCCTGTTGTAGCTAGTAGATAGGTGAGAAAAACACAATAAAACTAATGACAACTCCCTAAAATAATCACCAGTCATTTTTTCCCCAAGATTTTCAGGAAACAAAACTTTTTTAAGACATTTTTTTTATTTGTGACAAATATGAGGCAATACTTTTAGGAAGGTGCTGATATTTAAATAGTTATCTCAGCTTGTTTTTATTAAAGATGAAAAGTGTTTAATAAAAACTTTTGCTTTAGTGTTAGTAGGTTTCAGACTAATGCGTTTGGTGAATATTGCTCCACGTAGCGGTGCTCTTGTTTTATTAGCAAACCCCTTAATGTTCTGTGCTTGTAATTGTTTTTGAGTGTTTAAATATTGTCGCCCCTTGGCATTTGAATGAAATTTTATTGATGTGTTTTTAGAGTTGCCTGTTCAGGAAAAAGTGTGAAAAATTGTTCCATTAACTTTGTGGTTAGCATCATTAGCATTAACATAATTAGAAGTAGCATTATTACACCTGTGAAACATCACAACTGCCTCTGAGAAGCCAAAATAAATCAATTTTATTTTTACTATTAGTAAATTCTTTGAAGTCTTTCAGTGTTGTTTATTTGTGGTAACTGTGCTTATAAGAGGTGAATTTAGGAAGCTGCACGTCGTCATTTCTCTGGTGTACAACAGGTGTWGTCACACTTGAGCTGAGCGGGACGTCCTCCTTCACACGCTGCCTTTTGCACATGGAGCTCAAACTTCTGCAGCTGTTGAAAGAATCTATAAAAAAAAGGATAAATATTTCCCACAGCAGCAGCCACAGTGTGAAAACTCAGCAGCTGTGAACAATTTACCCTAAAATCAACAGCTCCCAGGAGGGATAAGGGGGGGACAGGATCCTAACCATCGCAGGCGTTTGAACCTGATAAAAGGCCCGTGTGAGTTGAGCAGTGTGGTGTTTTTAAATGTGTGAAATGAGTCGACCAGTTCTCGTCCCATAATAGCTCCCTGGAATCTGTGAAATGTGACTCACAGGTTAAAGGTGAAGAGAGTTTATAACACTCATGCAGTTCAGTATGAGAAGTCACGACACATGTGATCAAGTTAACACCTTAACTGYCCTTAACTGTGGGCCGACACCACATAAAATATTGTGTAGGTGAGCAAAGAAAACTAACTCAAATTATTCATGTTCATTGTCAAGATCTGGTTTGTTTACTTTTGTTTGGCTGTGAAAGAAGGTAAAAAGATGCCACCTATTAGTTTATTAGTATTTTTAAAGGCCAAATAATAAAAAAATGTAAGTTTTAGACTCTGGCCTTCATGTTGCTGTTACTTCTGGACTAAATGCCTGTGTGGAAATGTGATATGAGCCAACACTTAATGAAGCCCGCGTTCAGGATGTTTTCTGATAACCTTGAGATCCAGTCCCCACCCAACCCTTCCCCCCAGACTTCATTCAACCTTTTTCCGCCACCTAGTGGTCAGACTGATGTAGTGCTTGAATTGCTGATTAAATTCAAACCAGATACTGTATATATTTTTATGTTGTTTATATAGAAATGGAACGCGCATTTTTTTTAGCTTAGTTTAGTTTTTCATAAGCAAAAAAAAGTTCAGTATGCACTGAACTCTGCAACTTTCACAATCCAAAGAGACATTTTTTGCACAAAATCAAATATGTCCAGAGCAGCACAGGGTGATCATAAACTGGTGGCCCGTGGGCCAGTTTGAGTTTTTTGAAGGAGGGCATTTCCAGTCAATGGGGGTATCTTTGTAAAACTAAAATTATATAATGAGTTTGAACATGTATTAATATTTTTTACATTTTAGGACAAAAAATGGACCAGATTTAGGTAAAAAAAAAAAAAAAGTAAAAAAGTTAAATATACCAATGAGGATAAAGAGTGAAATAGTGAAACCATGCAGGCCATTACTTTTTATTTGTGAAAAACAAATCAATAACTTAGGCCAGTTTGTTGAATTGTGACTAGTTGAAATTAAATTATAAACAAATACTTTAATTTGAATTTGACTTGATGTTTTTTTTTCCTAAATCCTAATGTTATCACATTAATTCCCCCTTTCTCTGCTCAGCAACTTGTTTAAAAGGTGTTCCAAAAAAAGATCCCATCTGTACAGCTGGAAGTTATATTAATGAAAAAACAAGCTAACAAAAAAACGAGCATAATCTGATCATTTTTTTGCTCTTTGTTCTAACATGTTTGTGAAAAAAAATTGTCATAAAAAATGCTAGTTTTTTCCTGTTGTGGGAATAAAAATCAAAAAATGTTTATGCCAGTTTTTGATCAAAGCTTTTGAAGAGCTGTGCACTAGGGTTTGCATGGCTTTATGGTTGTTTTGATCAAATTGGAAATACTTGAAACTACAAATCATTATGTTAAAGCCAGGTTTTTACAAAAATTTTGTCTGTAAAAGTGCATATTTGCATTGTGGCTGGTGTTTTTGTCTTTGACTACTTTTGACATGACCTCTCTTCCTCTGCAGCAGAAGCACAAATCCGACAATACAACATAGAAAGTAACAGAAATCTTTCTGCACATTTGTTAGTTTGACTTTGATCGTGTCTGAGCTGGAGTTAATCTGGCGTGTGGAGATTAGCCCGACCCCTGGGTGCAGTAACCAGCCGGGCCCTGCACACTTTTCACCCTGCAGGGACAGATCCCAGTTACTGAGCCTGGGGGACAGAAACAAACGTCCTTTCCAACGTGTTGCCACCTGAGAGGGAAAAATGTTTTATTCATATGATCATAACAAATTAACTTGAATCCTTTTTGCTTTTTAAAAAGTTCTAACCTGCTCTCGTCCACTTATGGGTGATCCTGTGAACATCCTCCTTAGATGGGAATCATCGAAGTGTGAGGCTGAAAAGCAGCACCTGGGCTATACATTACCCTCATGCCAATAGTTGATCAAGACTGGCTCCACCAAAATTACACATTAACCCAAAAAACTGACTCCCTTCTCCTTCACCTCTGTCTCATTTAACCCACATCCTGTTACACTGGACTGAGGAAAGAAACCTGAGCATGTGCTCATGTAAAATCTGCTCGTTAAAGTATCCAAATACATTATCTTCTAATTTGTCGTGTTACATTTTTTACATTGATTACAGCAGCTTTTATTTATATTGCAAAATAAGCACACGCACTTAATATTTTATATTTACTTATTTATTCTGTTGCTTTCTTTCTACAACCTGAATTCTGCAAAAAAAATTGGGATGTTGTATAAAATGTAAACAAAATGCAATGATTTGCAAATCTCATAATCCCATTCAATATTTTATTTTCAAAGGAACATGGTAACCTGTCTCCACATATCAAGTGCTGTGGCTGAGTGGTTTGAGAGTTTTCCTGTAACTGGTGGGTTGCCACTTTGATCCCCCGTTCCATCCGCCTCAGTTGTTGCGTCCTTGAGCAAGACACTTCACCCACCTTAGCTGGTCACGGTCAGTGTATGAATGAATAATGCATCAAAATTGTAAAGCATGGAGTCTCTGGAAAAAGTGCGATATAAGACTAATGCATCATTATTATTGAATCTGATGGCAGCAA